AGTCATCACAGTGAGCCAAGTGCAGCCACTTTTCTCATCAGTGGGAGAGTTTTGTAGGGATCCCTCTTCTTGCCCACTTGACTAAGAAGAGTCCTAAAGTGGTTTTCTCCCACCCACCACTCTGAAAATACTGAAAACAGAAGTTTAGTGACTAATATAACAAATATGCCATATATACAAGGGGGACCCCCAAAACCCCGGAATTTATTTATAAAAAATGGTGTATTTATTCTCACATGTTTAAACTTCAGTCACCTTCAAGGTACTCTCTGTTTGATGCAATATACCTATCAAGGTGCTTCTTCTGCTGCTCAAAACAGTTTTAAATTTTTTTAAGAATTTTAATGATGTGGGGTACAATTCAGGGCAGGGTATACAAATGTTCATTATGCAGGTCCCCTTGTTGATGAGGTGTGCCCCCCGACAGTTTTTCACTACTGCCAATCCTTTTCTTACAGTATTGCGATAATTGTTCAAGGTCCGCTTATGAGTGAGAACATGTGATACTCAGCTCTTTGTTTCTGTGAAAAATCACTCAGTATTATAGATGCTAAGGTCATCCAAGTTGCTGCGAAGTTCAGAATTTTGTCCTTCTTTATGGAACCCAAATCACTCTATGAAAAAAATACCTGCACATGCATGTTTATTGCAGCATTATTCACAATAGCAAAAATGTGGAACCAATCGTGCTGCCCATTGAAAGAGGACTGGATTAAAAAAAAAATGTGGTGCATATATGGTGGAATATTATGCAGTCAAAACAGTTTTTGAACGTGTCAGTTTTGATGCTGTTTAGTGCATCTGCCGTTTTTTGTTTCACCTCTTCCACACTGGTGAAACATTTCCCTTTGAGAACTTTTTAAATTTGGGAAAACAAAAAAAAAAGTCACTCAGGGAGAGATTGGGTACATAGGGAGGATGGGGTATGGGAGTCATGTCCTTTTTGGTCAAAAAGTACTGAACAGTCAGTGCAATGTGAGCATGTGTGTTGTCATGGTGGAAGAACCAGTCACCTGTTTGCCACCACTTGGGATGTTTCTTCTGCAAATTGTGACACACCCTTCCCAAAACTTCCAGATAAAAACTTTGGTTGACCGTTTGGTCCGAAGAAACGAATTCAGAGTGTCCTACAAGGGGCCTGCCCTCCAAAAGATGATTCTGTTTTTTGGAGGGTTCCCCCTTCATATGTAATATATTGTATATGGGATTTGGTACTATCTGCGGTGTGCGGCATCCACTTGGGACATCCTGCACAGATAAAGGGAGGACTACTGTATTCTCAAAGGAACATATCAGGTAACAATGTTGCATTTGTATTTGAACAAAGACTTTCACAGGGTCTTAGGTGGAATGTACTGGTCTATTGGTAGCCACACAGGGGTGGGCAGCTGTATCTGTTTCCAGGGCTGCTGCAGTACATTATACAAACAGGGTGACTTAAAACCACCAGAGTATATTCTGCCACAGTTCTGGAGGCCAGAGGTCCAAAATCAAGATATTGGCAAGATTGGCTCCTTTTGGAGGCTCTGAAGAAGACTGTTCCATGCCCGCCCTTCCCTCCCCCCACCAGCTTCTGGTGGCTGCCACTGCCAGCAATTCCTGGCATTCCTTGTCTTTAGATGCAGCACTTCAATCTCTCTTTTCTCTCTTATAAGGACACCAGTCATTGGATTAGGAACCACACTCAATCCAGAATGATCTCATCTTGAGATCCTTACCTTTTTTTTTTTTTTTTTTTTTTTAGTTTTAAAACATAGTTTATTAAAGAAAGAAGAGAGGAAAGAAAGGGAGACAAGCCAGAGCTGGCAAGGGAGAGAGAAACCGTGGAGATCCTTAGCTTAATTATATCTACAAGAATTCTATTTCCAGGCCAGGTGCAGTGGGCTCATACCTGTAATCCCAGTACTTTGGGAGGTCGAGGAGTTGAAGACCAGTTGCTTGAGCCGAGTTGAAGACCAGCCTGGGCAACATAGCAAGACTTTGTCTCTCTAAAAAATAAAAAAAATTAAAAAATAAAAGCCGGGCATCTATAGTCCCAGTTACTCACTCGGGAGGCTGAGGCAGAAGGCTCACCTGAACCCAGGAGGTTGAGGCTGCAGTGAGTTGTGAGCATGCCACTGCACTCCAGCCCGGGTGACAGTGAGACCTCGCTTCAAAAACGAACAAATAAATTAAAAAGGACTCTAATTTCAAATAAGGTGACATCCACAGGTACAAGGGTTAGGACTTAGACATACTTTTGGGGGGACAATTCAACCCACTATGGCAAGGTATTATGGGGCCCCACAAATCACACCCTTTAGGCTACTTAGCAATCCTCCTCCTAAGGGCAGAGTCCTGCACTATTTTCGATACTCACCAATTTCTCTGGAAAGGCCCTATGGAGCTATCTTTACACCTATATTAAAAACAATATCTAGTCTAGATATATGTTCATTTATTACTTAACAAGAATACTTATTGGAGATCATAAAATGTGATCGATTTCTGGTCTTTCAAGGTCTTCCTTGTTGTATCCAAGGCAGAAGGATGTCACCAAGCAGGATTCTCTACTTGGCGTGGGTGGAGAGGGCCTCTTAGGACACTTCTGATGCACAGGGGTGTGTAGTTTTCAGCTCTTTCCTACACGGATGAGTCTTTGTGATCTTTAAACCCTAGTGTCCAGCACGGGGCTTCCTTTATTGTTTGGTTTGTTCTTAGGTACATCAAGTCCTTTTGAAAGAGAGGTCGAGTGTGATCACAAAATAAGTAAATAAGAGAAGACACATTCTGACCTTCTCTTCCATAGGAGCTACAAAGGGCACAGGCCTTGTCTTGCCCTGACCAGGACCCCAAAGGCACAACTCTACAAAAGTCCGGCCCTGCTGGTGATGTCTTTTGGCTCACCCTCAACTCCAAATACGCGTAATTTAATTTTAAGCACCTTTAATCATGCGAGTGTTTCAAGTCCCCCCTGACTTTCCAGCCTGATCTGGTCAAGCCAGCCAGCCCCGGAGCCTTCTCATTTCTCTCCCCTGACTGTCCATGAACACTTGGCCTGCTCAGCCCCATTTTATGGATGAAGAAACTGAGGTTTACAAAGGCGCCATTCCTTGTCCCATGCCTAATTAACTTGGTCAGTGACTGAGCCAAAGGCCCTCACTTGCAATCCAGTCATCTTTCTCTGTTCCCTGGAGAGATCTGGTTCCTGATTGATAGATAGTCCTGATTCCTAGACTTCTAGATCTTGGAACTATTTGGTGTGGGGGAGGACATCCTTGGATGACCCACACCCATGTTCATGGTTGACTCTCAAATTGCTGGAGCACTTCCAAGGTGAGAGGCAGCACTGTGTGGCCAGGCCAGGATGCAAACAGGTGGTGGGAGGAAGTGCTGAGGGTGTGTGCATGCTGGGAAGACCTCCAAGCCGCCAGCCAGCTGCTGTTTGTGGGCGCTGTGCTAAGCACTGACCCATTTGGTCAGCCTTGTGAGGTGCAGATTCTACACATTTTCCAGATGATGGAGCTGTGGTGTCAGGAAGATAAAGGATCTAGCATCTGAGAGACTGAGGTGGGGTTCACAAGGCAGATTGTCACCAAAGCCAGATTCGAGGTAAGAAGTACCACAGAGGTAGCTGGCCATGGTAGTTCATGCCTATAGTTTCAGCTACTCAGGAAGCTGAGGTCAGAGGATCACTTGAGCCCAGGAATTTGAGGCTGCAGTGAACCACAATTGCACTGCTGCACCCCAGCCGGGGTAGAGCAAGACCTCATCTTTCTTTAAAAAAAAAAAAAAAGTACCATAGAGATGCTGTGAGCACCTCACAGAGGTGGTGAGGCCTGGTGACCTGCCCTACTGCCAATCTCTTTTGCTCCCAAGTGATATCCTGGGAGCCACCCCGGGCAGTACACAGGCTATTGTGGGAGCCACAGAAGCAGGCACAGCCCTGAGGCTGGTGATGACTTGTTCTTGGAACCATAGAAGCATTACTTTCTGAGTAACTGGTCCTACTACTTTCTAGTGTGGGGGAGGGCATCTCCCAAGCCTGGATGAGCCCCAGAGTCACTTGAGGTGCTTATAGAACAGCTCATCTGTGCCAACTCCAGCTTTGGAGATGGGACTTGCTTTTCCAAGCTACTCTTCAGGAATGAGCTTCACAGCCAAGTGAGGGACTTCACATCAGCATTTAACACTAGCCTGGTGGGATGGATGCCATTTGTCACCTGACAGGCAGTGGTGATGCGGAGCTAAGTGACAGCCAGTGGGCACAGAGGGACTATAACAAGGACAAGCGGGGCCTTCCTCGCCAGCGAGCACTGGATTTAGATCCACTTGTACCACCTCTGAGCCTGAATTTCCTCAAATAATGCACACAGGAATTCCCATTATTCAATCGTGAGGTATAATCACCGCCTCAAAGGACTGTGGGATTGTAAATGCAAGAGTCAAAGGGGAACCTTGGGCAACAAGGGTCTCGACCGTTGTCTTTCTTACTTTTCAACAACCTACACCCTCAAGGGTCAAGCTCCAGTCTTTCCTCTCTGCAACACCCCTGGGTTCTGCTTCCTTTCTCCCTGCTGAGGACTCCCGTTGCCCACCTAGCTGCCTGTGGCTTCCCTTGGGATTTCAGCCCTTGCGCAGCCATTCTGGAGCCAGGGACTGGTTAGATCTCAGAAAAACCTCGTATGTTCTTTAACCCTGCCTCCCTCAGAGGCTGGGGCCAGCGATGTCCCCAACGGAGGACACTGTCCTTTACAGAAACACCTGTGGACTATGGTCTCAGTCAGCCCGCCTGATCTTCCCAGTGGCTAGAATTAGGGGAGAAGGAGAAAACGGTCACGTCCATAATCTTTTTCCTCCCCACAAAAGGGTGAGCACACTCTGGGCTGGAAACAGGAGAGAGGCCCATCTCATACTCCAGCAGGGTACAGAGGAAGGTCGGCTGAAGCACTTGCAGAGGCAATCGTGAGAAAAAGGAGGCGAGGGCGAGAGTAAACAGTAAATCATTTCGAGAACCCAAATTACAAGACTTAAAGTACATTTTTAATTGATCTCAGACAAAAACTACTCGGGGTGGCCAGTAATCACTTTAGCCCATCATCTGCTGGACCCGTATCCTAAACAGCCTTGAGGAACTGGGTTAACCGGTTATTTTCACTATTTCGTATCATCCATAGTATTAGAAAAAACAAGGCATTATTGTATCAGTGAGGTTAAAAGCATAGCTGGCAACAACATCCAGTCTCTTATATCCCATATTTTTTCTTCAGCTCTTCTACTTTGTTGACGTACGCTTTCATGGCATCTTCCTTGGCAGTCCCTGTAAGAAATCGACAGGATTGTCAGGGAGGTGGCATGGTAGAAAAGAAGCAGCCTTTAGAGCCCCTGAGTGAATGACCAATAAACTACTGTGCTCAGAAGGTGTGGTGGGGCTAGCTACATGTATCCCCCACGACAGCTGGGAAATGGTCGGCATGAGCTTCTGGAGATAGACTTGTCCTCCAGGCAAGCAGGAAAATGTCCTTACTGACTCTCCAGGTTGACTTTGGCCTTTTAAGTATTTCTGTGTTGGGCTCTTATCTCTAAGAGCTGTTGAGCTTCTCCCTAGAGGTAGGCTATGAGAAAAGCTGAGAACTGTGAGCAAAAGCAACTGGTTCTTGGAGGGGAATGAGACAAATCTTTGTTTTTTTTTTTTGTGGCAGTACAAAGGACACTGAGTATATCCCTCAGAGACAGTGACACCCAGTTTCCTGGATTCTAAGGTGAGAGGGAGAGAGAGCCTCTGGGACTTGGGGCTCATTTTGAAGCACTGGAGAGTACATGGGGCCTGAGAATGGGTGGAAATGTCTGACGAAAACGGATGGTCAGACTGGCATTCCCTTTCTAGTTACTTGCAAATCCTAGGAGTGTATTTATTGTATTGTGGTCCTTTCTGAATTCAAGAGTTTCTCATTTGCAGGCAGACAGAGGGCTTATTCAGAAACGCACCAGGGAGAACACTAAAGCTGCCAGGAGCTTTGGTGCCAACTTTTGGACCTTGCTGCCACAGGTGGCACGTGATTAAGTAGGCGCTTGGATACTTCTTGGCTGCTGGTGCTTAGCATACAATAGCTCCATTCACAAAGCCTACGATGTGCCAGCAGCTTGCCCTGCATTAGCTCATTCCCTTCTTTTATGTGCTTTTCTGGCTGGGAGGGAACTGGGGGGAGGATCGCTTGGGCTGGGGAGGTGGGGGGGGGAAAGAGAGTCGCAGGGAGTCACTGCCTGATCTTGTGGGAGAAAGGGGCGCTATAAGCAGGAAACCACCCCTTATTCTGAAGACACCTGAAGCTCACGCCAATGACATCACCTCCCAATCCCTTCTCTTCAGATGATACCCGCTCAGAGATGGCGCTTTTAGAAAAGGCATTAAATAGTGTCACGAGAAAAAGTAGGTGGCCCGGTTTTTTTCCCATTCCGATGCAGGTCAGGCTGGTTTCCAGCAAGTGCCCCATCCACTTTGATTTTTCTCTTCACCCCTGACACTCCATAATGAAGAGTCTTTCATTACTGGGCTTCACAAATGAGGGAAACTGATGAGAACCATTACCTTTCAGCTCATTCCAGGCATCCCACTTGGCCTTGCCTTTGAGGTCCAACATCCCGGGTCGATCTTAAACAAGCAAGGAGAGACATTAGATATGCTTCAAATTCTAATGGAGAACTTGATCAACTTTTTTTGCTATGAAAGCCATTCTTTATTACTCCTATTCCTTCTAGGCTCTGTCATGGAGTTAAATGGGTCTAGAACAGTGGGTTCTACCTTAAGAGACCCAGATGTACAGAAATACAAACTTAAAATCTAGAGAAAACAGGAGGAAAACTTCTCATTACAAGACTTTTGTCTTACAAGTTAAATAACTCCTACTTTCTCCTTTAAAAACTGTATTATTTTTTATTTTTTTTAGAGATGAGGTCTTGCCAAGGTGCCCAGGCTGGTCTTGAACCTGTGGGTTCAGGCAATCCTCTCACCTTGGCCTCCCAAAGTGCTGGGATTATAGGCGTGAGCCATCGTGCCTGGCCTCAAAAACTGTACTTTGATTTTTAAAAAATTTTTAAAAAAAACATCCATTCACATGGTTCAACATTCAAAAGCTATAGAGGAAAATACTATAAAGTTCCTCTCCCTAATCACTACTGTTACCAGCCTTCTGGGTGTCCTTTTCTATGAAGTGTCTGTTCATATCCTTGACCAATCTTTCTACCAAGTTGTTAGTCTATTCTTTTTGACTTCTGGGAGTTTTTACTGAGGGCAAGTTTTCTGTAAGTTACACCATAACTTTATGCTTGCAGACCTTTTATCATTTGCAGTTGGGAAACACCCTCACTAGCATCCTGCTGCCGTTTTTCACTGCCACACCGAGCACAGAGCCAAGGGGAGCAAGCAGAGTCCACGGCCCGGAGCACTGTGTCTGGCCAAACATCAAGTGTCCCTGAGTGCTTTCTGGGAAGCGTTCCCAGGGACACCTGAAACAAACTGCACCTGCAGAATCATCATCAGAATCCCAGAGCAGCACTTCTCAACAGCCCTTTCTGTGACAATGGAAATGTACACTCGCAATATCCAATTCAGGAGCCACTGGCCACATGTGGCTCCTGAATACCTGAAACTGTGGCTTGTGTGACTGAAGACAAAACTTGATTTAATATGAACTATCTTGGTTAAAGTTTAAATAGCCACAAGAGGCTACTGCATTGAACAATACAGCCCTAAAGAGTTGTTACGATATCTGTCTGATCAGGAAGAGATAGGTTCCCAAGCCAGTCTACTTTCGCTTATGAAAACAGGTAGCTCCAGCATGGACAGAGGCCAGTCTCTGTGAAAATACCATTTGGAAGAAAAGTATCTCAACACCTTTGGTTGCCTCCACTTCACCTTTACTTCCCCTTCCTGGGAGGACAGTCTATAAACTCACTGTGAGACTCATTTCAGCACAAGACCTTCCTCAGCTAAGCCCTCCATGTGAACCTCAGGGCTTGATTTTGGCATTGCCTGTGATCCTTCGCTGTGGGCACCATTGCCTTCGTCCAGCTGGCCGGTGGCCAGCCCACCTGCTCCACCTCAGTTGCTGTGGAACTACGGGCCTTGTTCACCCTTCCTCCTGAAAGGCAAGGGAAACTGCCTTTTATGCTGCCATGACCATCAACTCTGAATCCTGCACAGAATGCACTGTGCTGCTGCCTCAGGATATGCCTGTGTTTCAGGGACTTGGAGCAGAATGAGAACTGCCCAAGGCAGGAAAGACATTATTAGAGAACATGATAGTCCAAAGCACTACCTCAAAAGATTTTTTGGATAAGGAACAAATGGTCATCAGGAAGGCACAGATTTATGTCAGCAAAAATACAAGAAGCCAGGTGCTTCTCTGCTCCTGACAGGCTTGGCAGGGCAGCCAAGTACTCCAGCTTTGATCCTGTCCTCTGGGGCAGAGGCAGTATGCCTCAACACAGTTACTACTGAGCTGAGAGGCTAGACCAAGTCTCTGACCTTTGCTTCTTTCCCAGGAAAGGGGAGTTGCTGGTGATAATCAGTAAGGCCCTTCCAAAACCAGTATTTGAATTCTGCTACCTGAATCACTGAGCAACCTGGAACACGGTCTTTTAAACCCCAGGAACTGTCACCAGGCCCAGTCTGCAGAACAGAGCCTCAGGTAGTTTGAGTCAAGTTCCCACAGACTTCCAGTAAAAGCTGCTGAACCTGCTTTAATGAGCAGGGGACCTCCGAACCTCAGCTCGCATACCTGTATTTACATCGCCCACAGTTGCTTGTTTGTAGTGCCCATAGATAAACAGCATCTCATCGTCTGCTGGCTTGGTCTTGAGGTGCTTAACTTCCTCTGCAGCCTTCTCAAACTCAGCCTAAATGGCAGGGACAGGAGGGGAATGAGGCCTCCTCCAGGCGGGAGAGGGCAGGAGTCCTGCTGTGTGGCCTCAGCAGAGTCCAGCGACTGGGACAGAGAGGTCAGAAAGGTGGCTTTCCTTCTGCAATTCAGGCCAAGAAAAGCAGCCCCCTCAAGCGTGTCTCCCCCCACCCTGTTCCAAAAGGGCACCTAGAAAGATTCAGTAACACCAGGGCAAGCACATCACTTCACCAGCGTCACACATGTATCAGGTGCTCTCACTCCAGCTGGCATCCGGTGCGGGAAACACAGCGGTGGAGGAGGAAGGCTAAGCCTTTGCCCGCAGTGTTCGCTCACTGGCAGGAAAAGCAACGCGACCAACTGCCACCACCGGGTCAGACCAGGAAATGGCTAGGGTTCCAATGAAGCCCTGACTGGTGGACAAGGGTGATACAGCACGCTTGGAACAGCTGAGAAGGGAGCAGGGCATGAGTGTAGTGGAGTCACTGGCCCCCTCCCTCTGGGGACCCGGCCTTCAGCAGCGGCCTCTGTCCCAGTGCTAGGACTGGGGACAGGCAGGCGGGAGGGGCCAGAGGTCTTTCCACACAGCTCGGTCCTGGACAAGGGTCTACACTGGAGGGAAGGAAACGGTCTCCTCTGGGTCACCTCTCCCCGGGCTGCCACTCTCCTCTCCCCCCGCCTCACATGCCGGACACCTGGTGCCAACTCCCCTGACCTCCAAGTTCCCAGACACACCCTCCTTGTTTCCCCACTCCCCCGCGACGCCCCTGGTCGCGTCCTGACCTTCCGGACAGGGACCCAGGCTCCTTGCCCCTTCAATCCGTGCCACCCCTACCCCCTTCTTGCTCTCCAGCACCCTCGCCTTCCACCCCTCTCCTGCTTCACCGCGAAGTCCACCCCATGGGCCACTTTCCAGCAACTGCGGGTGGGCGGCAGTTTTAGAAATCCCCAACCGGAAAGTTCCGCTTGCCAGTCTCTGCCCAACGGATCGGGGCTGGGCATGGGTCCAGGAGGCACGGCGGGGCATCCAAGGCGAGAGCCCGAGAAGCTGAGCCCCACGGCGCCCCCGCTGCACCCTGGCAGCCCGGCGGTGCACGCGGCGTACCTGAGACATCCTGGCCGCGTCGCAAGGATTCCAGAGAGCCCGCGGTGGTGGCGAGGAGCAGGACGCGGGAGCTTA